TAGCTGATTATAATTCACATGCAAGCTTATATGGCTCAACAAACATGTAAATTTGCCCCATATTATGTGCCAAGGATTGATCAACTCAATGACGCAATTGACAGAACTTTCAATAAAGGGATTGAAAGTAGTCTAGGGTAAAAACTAGTCATCAAGTTTTGTTGTCATTTCAGCCGATTTACTAATCGTACTAGCACCTCTTCTCGTCCGAATAAGCTAATAGTATTGTTAACAAAAAGAATGTTCCATTTTAAGTTTTGTGGCAAAAATTTGAGGCATTTAGTTATCCTAGAGACCCTTCAAGTGAAAAAAGGATTGTAAAGAGGCCATCTGTTCACAATACAGCTAGGGATTGAGCTACATTCAATGTTCAGAATACTTACTTTTACGCTTTTATCCCTTCAAGATCTCTAGCAAAGCCATCGATACTCTAAACACTATCGCTTGGCCTAATTTGCTCAGAGCAAACTTGTAGAAAGCCGTAACACTAGAAACCACGTTAGGGAGCACGCTATCCCGGTAATGGCTATTTCTCCTTAAGATGAGTACATACAACCTGAGAACTTCCCAAGGAAATGCCGAAGACTTCTACTCAACCAGATAACCTAAATAAATATTAAAGCCCTCTAAGGTTGCTCTAAACGTTGGCCAAATTATCGTAATGATATCCTAATCATTCTCTTTAAAGCCTCAAAGACCAACATTACAAAATCGGAGACCAAATATGATATTCTATATTTATGAAATTTTATGCACACCAATTACAGCATCTGAGGGGCGCAACTATCGTAATTTGATAGCACTCCTTTGTACCCTTAAACAAGAAGTGATCGGGCTTCTATATTGATGAAATTTTACTCTCTTTTGCCCCCTTTTCACCCGACGATTTTCCAATACACCGACCATATGATCTCTTTAATCTGCTTCCTATGGTACGTTTATGTTTATGTAAGTGGAGATTGAGCATATATGAGTCTGTAATTCAAACTTGTATTATTCAAGTATATGTTTTGTGAGGCTTATGTTTATGTTGTTGGATCTTATGTCATGGATATGTAATTTATTGTTAAACACAATTTTCCAGTGTCATACAGATTGGGAACTCTCTTAGGACCAACTCAAACCGTTATTTGTTTTACTTTGACTGATTTTTTGTGAGGAAATGAGAGATTTGCAGCCATATGTGCAGATGAAAATTTTGTAATTAAGGAGCACTTTTGGGTTGTATTGTAGAGAATTTTTGGTTTCCACACCTTGTGCTCGTCCTCTATACCCTCCTTCAGAAAGTGTATCTTGAGCTCGTCATTGGCATTACGTTTCAGCTCACAAAAGTATATAGCCACTACCTGATTATAATTCTCATGCAAGCATACATGGCTCAACAAACATGTAAAATTGTTCCACATTATGTGCCATGGATTAATCAAATCAAAGACACGATTGACAGAACTTTCAGTAGTGGAACTGAATGTAGTCTAGGGTAGGAACTAGTCAACAAGTTTGGTTGTCATTTCGGAAGATTTACTAATCATACCAGCACCTATGCTCGTCCGAATAGGCTGATAGGGTTGTCAATGAAAAGAATATTCCATTTTGAGTTTGGTGGCAAAAATTTGAAGCATTTAGTTATCCTAGAGACTCTTCAATTGACAAAATAATTGTAAAGAAGCCATCCGATCACAATACCGCTTGGGATTAAGCTACATTTAAAGTCCAGAATACTTACTGGTACGCTTTTATCCCTTTAAGATCTCTAGCAAAGCCATCAATACTCTAATAACTATCCCTTGGCCAAATTTTATCTTAGCGAAATTATTGAAACCCACAGCACTTGTAACCACATTAGGGAGCACACTATCCTGGTAATGGCCAATTCACCTTAAGAGGAGTACATACAACCCTGGAAATTCCTAAAAAAACTATGGAAATGCCCAAGACTTCAACTCTACCAGATAACCTAAATAAATCCTAAAGCCCACTATGATTGCTCTGAATGTAATTCCAGACTAAATTATCATAGTGATACCCTAATCACTCTCTTTACAGCCTCAATGACCAACATTATGAAATCAGAGGCCAAATCTAAAATTCTATATTTATGAAATTTTCTGCATACCAATTACAGCATCTGAGGGAGGCAACTATCGTCTTGAGATAGCACTCCTTTGTACCCAATAACAAGAAGGGATCAAGCTTCTATATTAGTGAAATTTTACTAAATTTTACCCCTTTTTGACCAGATGATTTTCCAATACACCGGCTATATGATCTCTTGAATCTGCTTCCTATGCTATGACACCAAGTACACACATTTCGTTCATGTTTATGTAAGTGGAGATTGAGCATATCTGAGTCTGTAATTCAAATTTGTATACTCAAGAATATGTTTAAAGAGGCTTATGTTTATTTTATTGGATCTTATGCCATGGAGATGTAATTTGATGTTAGACACAATTTTGCAGTGTCATATAGAGTAGGAACTATCTTACGACCAACTCAAAGTGTTATTTTGTTTTATTTCGAGTTATTTTTTATGAGAAAATGAGTGAATTGCAGCCATATGTGTGGATGAAAATTGTGTAATTAAGGAGCAGTTTTGAGTTGTATTGTGGAAAATTTTTTGTTTGCAAACCTTGCGCTCGTCCTCTATACCCTCCGTCAAAGTGTGTTTCATGAACTCTCCATTGGCATTACGGTTCCGCTCACAAAAGTATAGATCCATTAGATTATTACAATGCTCATGCAAGCTTACATGGCTAAAAAAACATAAAATTTGTTTATGTGCCAAGGATTCATCAACTCAATGATGCAATTGACAAAACCTTCAGTAGAGGGACTGAAAGTAGTCTAGGGTAAGAACTAATCTTGATATTTCATTGTCATTTCGGCGGATTTACTTATCGTACTCTCACCACTGATAGTCCGAATAGGCCTATAGTGTTGTCAACAAGTAGAATGTTTCATTTTGAGTTTGGTGGAAAAAATTTGAGGCATTTAGTTATTCTAGAAACCCTTCAATTGAGAAAAGGATTGTAATGAACCCATCCGATCAAAATACAACTTGGGATTGAGCTACATTGAAATTCAAGAATACTTACATTTATGCTTTTATCCCTTCAAGATCTCTAGCAAAGCCATAGATATATAATAACTATCCCTTGGCCTAATTATATCTTTGGGAAATTGTACAAACCCGCAATACTTGAAACAACATTACGGAGCACATTATCTCGGTAATGCCCAATGCACCTCAAGAGGAGTACATACAACCTGGGAACTTCCTACAAAAACCATGGCAATGCGCAAGACTTCAACTTACCCAGACAACCTAAATAAACTTAAATCCCTCTAAGATAGCCCTGAGCGGAATTCCAGACCAAATTATCGTAATGATAGTCCTAATCACTCTCTGTAAAGCCTCAATGACTAACATTAAGATATGAAAGGCCAAATTAGATATTTTATATTTCTGAAATTTTATGCACACCAATTATAGCATCGGAGGGGTCAACTATCGTCTTGTGATAGCACTCCTTAGTATCCAAAAACAAGAAGAGGTCAAGCTTCTATATTTATGAAATTTTACTATCATTTGCCCCTTTTTCACTCAACGATTTTCCAATAGACCGGCTATATGATCTCTTTAATCTGCTTCCTATTGTAGTACACACATTTCATTCTTGTTTATGTAAGTGGAGATTGTGCATATCAGAGTTTGTAATTAAAATTTGTATGATTCAAGTATATGTTTTTTGAGGCTTATGTTTATGTTGTTGGATCTTTTGCCATGGTGATGTAATTTAGTGTTAGACACATTTTCCTAGTGTCATATAGAGTGGGAACTATCTTAGGACCAACTTAATGTGCTATTTGTTTTATTTTGAGTGATTTTTTGTGAGGAAATGAGAGGTTTGCAGCCATATGTGTGGATGAAAATTGTGTAATTAAGGAGTAGGGTTGTATTGTGGAAAATTTTTGGTTTCCAAACCTTGCGCTCGTTCTCTATATCCTCCATCAGAGGGTGTACCATGAGCTCGACTTTGACATTACATTTCACCTGAAAAAATTATCGAGCCATTGGCTGATTGTAATTCTCATGCAAGCTTATATGTCTCAACAAACATGTAAAGTTGTTCCATATTATGTGCCATGTATTGATCAACTCAATGATGGAATTGACAGAACTATCAGTAGAGGGACTGAAAATGGTGTAGGGAAGGAACTAATCATCAAGTTTGCTTGTCATTTCTACCGATTTAGTAATTGTACCAGTAGCTCTTCCTTCTGAATAGGCCCAAAGAATGTTCCGTTTGAGTTTGGTGGAAAAACTTTGAGGCGTCTAATTATCCTAAAGACCCTTCAATTTAGAAAAGTATTGTAGAGAAGCCTTCCAATGACAATATAGCTTGGGATTGAGCTGCATTGAAAAGTCCATAATACTTACTTTTATGCTTTTATCCCTTCAAGTTCTCTAGCAAAGCCATCAATTTTCTAATAACTATCCCTTGGCCGAATTTTATCTTAAGGAAATTGTAGAAACCCGCAACACTTGAAACCACATTAGGGAGCACGCTATCCCAGTAATGACCAATACACCTTAAGAGGAGTACAAACAACCCGGGGACTTCATAAAAATACCATGAAAATGCCCAAGACTTCAACTCAGCCAGATAACCTAAATAAACCTTAAAGCCCTCTAAGATTGTTCTAAATGTAATTCCAGACCAAATTATCGTAATCAAGTCCTAATCACTCTCTTTAAAGCCTCAATTACCAACATTATGGAATGCGAGACCAAATCAGGTGATTTTTGCACCATCTTTGTCCTACACCTTACTAAAGTCAGAGAAGGGTAAGAAGTTTTATACGCCTAAAACAAAGAGAAAAGCAAAGGTCCCCGTTAAACTAAGGATTTTGTATCTATGAGGAAGTAGCAATTCTTACATTCAAAAAAAATAAAAATAAAAAAAATAAAAAGCAAAGTAAGTAGCAATTCTCACATCTCTGACCGAATTAATAGCCTAGCCATGAAAACACCGCGTTGATAATCAGCACGGCCACCACAGCTGGCACCATCCACTTTGCAGGGAGCAGGCTGGGCACAAAAACCAGATAGGCCCCGATCAAGATCGCCATACCAATGCAAATCTTGCGCTTTACCAGTAGAATGGTCCTTCTGTTGTAAGGACCACGGATTATCATACACATGGCTGCCCCGGAGTAGAGGATACATCCAAAGTTGGAAAGGAGAAAAACAGCCTTAGCATACTGGTTTTCTATCTGCCACGACAAACCAGAAAACGCAAAGGACCCAGTAAACAAGCCGATGAGAAAGGTCTTAGCAGTTTCGAACTCCCTTTTTAGTTCCTCCATGTCGTCAATGTTGACTTCAGCTGTCAAGGAAAGGAATGCAAACAAGCTCCTCACAAAGGTCCAAGAATCACCAAACCACCTTTTTAGGGTTTCCACCCTGTTGATGATGATTGTGCAATCCAGCTGCGAGCTAATGCTGGTGCGATTTTCAGATGTTGAGGAAGACAAGGAAAGGGATGGAGTGAATGGAAGTGTGGAATCTGTACCAAAACTCTCGTTTATTTCAACGATCGTCTGACCCACAAGCTGCTGCGAGCTAGTGCCCAAACTCTCGTTTATTTCACCGATCGTGTGATCAACAGGCTGCAGCGAGCTACTGCTGGTGCGACGTTCAGACGAGGAAAGGGATGTAGTATCAAACCTCGTTTTTAGGGTTCGCACTATGTTGCCCATGTTTACTGCCAATGATCCACAGGCTAGGATGCTGCAAGCTAGTGCTGGTGCGCTCTGTAGATGGGTAGGGGACGCTCACCGCCTCTAACCCTAATCCTCCTTTTTCTTTTTACTCTCTCCCTCACTCCCCATGTGGGATGGTAACAGTGAATAAGGGTTTATATTATATATAACATAGTTTTTTCTTCATTTTCTTTTAAGAAAAAAGAGATCATTTTTTTAAAAAAAAAAGATATTTTTAAAAAATAAAAAGCGCATTTTTTCTTTTAAAAAAAAAGATCATTTTCTTTTTTAAAAAAAAAGATAAAAAAAAAAAACTACATGTTTTTTTTTAAAAAAAAAAATTGATCTTTTTCTTTTAAAAACTAA